CTTCTTTTTCTCCTCTTGTTCCTAGTTTCGACTCCTCACTCATACAATATTTTGTATAATTCCCCCCTCTTTTTAGACTTAATACTTATTTCATTTTATAGTTTATACAAAGTGCTGTCATTTAACTTTTTTTTCTTGTTCCTGGATATTTTCCTTTTCTTATATACTTGTTTTGGATTTCATTTTATAATATATAATTTATAAATTTAAAGTATTATAAGTTCTTAAACCTCTAACTATTCTCAGTTAACTATTTAATCAAGTACTGCCTTTTTTTTATAATGATTAAAAATGTGCTATTCAAATACTTGTAATGAATTCATATCTCCATATTTTTAATCTCTTTAATTATGTGTGCTTAAATTCAAAATTTTCATTTTATAGTGTTTGGAACTAAATTTCTAATTTTAATTTTACAGAACACACTGTAATAATTTTATTAGTCAAATAAAGTTGTGTTTATTTTTCTTCCAATGTAACCCAAATCCCTTTATATCTATTTTCATATTGTTTAAACGGTTATTATTTGATAAATTGTATTTTTCGATTATCGGGGATCACATAACTTAAAATTGGGGTTCACCAAACATTTTTTTTTTTTTTTTTGATAATTTTCTTACTATGCAAACAAACTTATAAAAACTACTCTTTTGCCATATAAGAATAATTGTCTTGTCCATAACAAAAATATATACTCGTATTAAGCAATTTATGTGATCATCGTTTTTTTTCTCAAAATTTTTGTCGACTTTATCAAACATTTGAAATTTGTCCCCCCAAATTATAAATCCTGGTTCCGCCACTGGTGAGGAATTCGTTAGCAATAATCAATAAGGAGGATGCTAGAAAGTATATTAATGCTATGAATTAGGGCGTTGTGGTTAAGATCAACAAGACATATTAGATTTACGTTTCACCTATCATTACCCCTATTTTGAGGAGCATAGGTGCTCTGATTGTTATTATTACACCAATTATGCAAATTCAAGCATCAAATGGTTGGTCTGCATTAATGTTTGGAGAGTTAAGTAAAACTTGGGTGTGGGTGGATCTGGATTTGGTGGGGTAGTGGTAGGGATATACACAATTTGGTCTGGACCGTAATCAAACCAGACCAAATCGCATTTTAGCGGTTTGGTTTGCGGTTTGGAAAAATACGGTTTGGTTTCGATTTTTTGGGAAATATGGTTTGCGGTTTGATTTGGTTTGGTTTTTCAAAAATTATAAACCAAACCAAACCGTAAACCAGTAAACCACATTTTAATATTTAAATAATTTTTAAATAAATTAAAATAGTTATTATATATTATAAAAAAAATAAAAAACAAAAAAATATGAAAAATCATTAAAAGATTATACGGTCAGTATAATACTATAGTTTTTTTCCACTGCCAATTTGTTATGTATTATTTTTATTATGTGTTATTGTGTTAGCACTTAGCACTTGATTAGTTGGTTGTTATTTTTATTAAAAATTTGTAGGAGAATTTAATCCCTTCGGCTAATTATTTGAACTTTATTATAAATTTATTAATATTTGACAATTTTTAGGAAAAAATGTCATCTCATCATAAACCGCAAACCAAACCGTACCAAACCGCATTATTACGGTTTGGTTTGGTTTGGTTTCAATACTAATATGGTTTCGTTTGGTATGGAAAATTGACCAAACCGTATTTTACGATTTGGTTTGGTTTAGACTCAAACCACACCAAACCAGACCATGTTCACCCCTAGGTAGTGGTGGTGGTGGGTGGCACTGATTTGTGTGCGTGTGTGTATAGTGGGTGTCGTCCATGCTGGTGGTGGTCTAATATAGGGGATAGTGGCGGTGGTTATGGTTAGTTGAGGTGGTGATACGCTGCACCGGTGGTGGTGCGGCGTGTTTTTTTTTATTTTTTAAAAAGAAATTTCCGACGGAAATTCAGTCGAAAATTTACGATGGAATTTGTATCCGTCGAAAATTTACGACGAATTTTTTTAGTGCCAAAAAATTTGGCAACGGCGGAATTTCCATTGGAAAAGGACGTTTTTCCTACCAACCTGTTTCTGACAACCAGTTCCGACGAAAATTCCGTCGAAAACGGGTTTTCCGACGAAATTCAGGGTGTTACCAATTAAATATTTCCCGTGGCCTGTTTTCTAGTAGTGTTTCTTATGTTTCGTGCTTTACCCGTCTCATTTCCATTATAAATATGAGGCTTATTTCCTTAGTTTTGAGACACTAAAAATCATTCTCTTTCTTCCCACACCAAAAATTATTCTCTCTTCTCTCTTCTATGCTCTAGCCTAAACACTAGGCTACCTTATTCTTCCACAATAATTCCCTTAAGAACTCCAAGGAGTCCGTACTTAACCAGTAGTTCTATACTTAAATCAGGGTGTGAAAGGTATAATTGTTTGAAGGTTTGGCCCCAAATCAACTCTAATTTTGATAACACGATATTATACACGATTTATATGTGATATTTGGTCATGTTTTATTGTGTTTTCTCCATTCTCCTAATCTTTTGAGCTATTATTCTTCCTATTTTGGTATTGCTCTTCTCGGTTTGTTTGTTTTTGTTTTTATAAGAATAGGGCTCGATTTGCGTGGAACTTATTTTGATTCCATGATACTTCTTTATATGGAGCGTTTCTAGCACCAATGGAGCATCAAAGGGAGCATTGTGGCAGCATACTCCACAACTTGTTGCGGCTTGTAATATGTTAGCCACAACCTGGTTGTGGCGTCTATATTGGAGCAAGGGAGAGGCAAATATAGCCCACTCCACAGCCCGGTTGTGGTGGTTTTCTTCATGCCATAACCCACCTGTGGCAGCTCGTTTAGAAGTCCTATTAAGATAGAAATACCTAGTTTTATGAGAGGATATAAATAGGTTATAGATAGACTTTTATTAACCACTTTTCATATATTATTTTAGACTTCTTTTTGGGTATTACGTTCTTCCATATTATTTTCTAGGGTTTTGCTTTTCAAGATTCAAGATTTCATAATTAATTCCAAGTATTGATTCCATCCCTCAATTCTTATATTTAATTATTGTTAATTATGTTTTCTTTATTGATTATCATTCTTGTTTTCATTAATATGTGTGAGTAGTTTCCCTATTCCAAGATCTAGCGGAACCCGAATATGATTAATGCTTGATTTAATTCTTTAAATTCTCTAATGATAATTGCAATTGATATGCTTAATCTTGGATGTCTTTAGCATTTGAATATCATATTATTTAGTTTAATTGTCATTCTTGATATTTAGTTATTAATTCTCAATTATTTGATTTGGTTACTTGCTTAGTACTTACTTGAGTCTATTTAATTAGTTGAACCATAGTCTCTTGGGATCCGACCCTTGCTTGCCCGTCTACATATTAGGTTTATTTTTTTTAGGTACGCGACACACCTATCAAATTTTGGCGCCGTTGCCGGGGACTAATGGTTTCATTCTAGTTATTCGTGATTCGTTTTTACTAAGCATAAATTTTGTTGCTTCGGCTATTGTCCCTTATGTCTTTGATCTCCTATTTTAGTTTCTTTAATGCATGCAAACTAGAAATTCAGGTTTAGAAGATCTAGCACCTTTTGATTATGAGATCGAAGCTACTGCAAGAAGACAAAGAGGTAAAAGAAGGAGAAATCGACACACAAGAAACATGGTCGACCTAGGAACAAAATCTGTTTTGGAGTATGGCATTCCTGATACAACAACCAGATTCCTCTCTAGTATTGTTAGACCACCTGTCACCGCTCAGAGCTTTCAATTGAATCCCCAGTTCATACAATTCATCTCTAGTGATTCTTTTGCGGGCTCACCGAATGATTGCCCTATGACTCACATAGACAGTTTCTTGGAGAAATGTGACATTATGAAGCTCAATGGTGTCATTGATGATGCTATTAGACTACTCCTTTTCCCTTTTTCACTACGGGATATAGCAAGGGAATGGTTACAAGATGAAGGTATTGGTTCTTTTGATACGTGGGATAAGCTTGTCAAGGCCTTCTTAGTGAAAATTTTGGGGCAAGATAAAACGACAAAATTAAGGAACGCGCTATCTACCTTCCATCAATCTAATGATGAATCCCTATATCAGGCATGGAAAAGATTTAAGCGATTGCAAAGACAATGCCCTCTCCATGGTATTCCATAGTGGATGTTGATACAAACGTTCTATAATGGTTTGACCCATGAGTTTCGCATATACATTGACGCTGCGTCCGGAGGTTCTATCATGACTAAGAACCCAACCAATGCGAAGGCTTTGATTGAGAAGATGGCGGCTAATGATAATTACCATCTAGGGGGACGAAATGTTACCAATAGAGGTAATAAACATGATGTTGATGCTATAACCATGTTAACAAGTTCTATGCAGGAATTAACTCATAAAGTCAATCAACTCCAAGCCGGTTCTCCTCGACCCTCAATGGAAACTTGTCAAATGTGTGGAACACAAGGCCATACTACGCGGGAGTGTCAACCCAATTATGATGGATTGACGATTGAGAAAGATAATGCTTTTTATACCACAACCTCCACAAGGCTATTTGATGAAGGGTGGAGAAATCATCAAGGTTTCTCATATATGAACAATCAGGCTCAAGTTAATCCTCCACCACAACCCGTTTTTCAAGAACGGGCACTTAACAATCTTCAATCCATACACCAACCACTACCTCAATCTTCAAATGTTGAATCCGTTATGGAGACTTTTTCTACCTCCCAATGTCAACAACAAGAGCTTATATCATAGTAATTTGAGTTACAAGCAAACCAAAATGAATATTTTGAAAACTCGATTCAATTGCTTGTTTCTCAAAATAAGAGGATAGAAACTCATTTTTCTCAACTTTCACAACAAGTGAGTCATCTAACAACTCTTCAAGATCAAGCGAAACTCAAAACGAAACAATGCAATGCAAATTTTGTGAAGAGAGATGAATTGACTACGGGAGGATTAGAGGAGAAAGTATGCAATCTGGAGTCAAAAACAGAAATGCATGTGAATGAAGGTGTCAAATATGTTGCCCTACAAGCCTATGAGGAACCGATGCCATTCCCGCAAAGGTTATCAAAAGCCATGCTTGATAAGCATTTTGGGAAGTATTCTGAGACTCTTAAGAAGGTATATTCCACCATCTCTTTTTTCGATCTTGTGGTTCAAATGCCTCAATTAGCAAATTTTGTGAAGGGAGTTCTAGATCATGATCATAATTGTAAGAAATTAGAAATTTTTTAGTAAAGGAAAAATGTCCTGATCTTTTACATGAAAGCCTACCACCTAAATTGCATGATCCCGGTAGTTTTACTATCCCTTGTATGATAAACGAAACATACTTTGATAGGGTCTTGTGTGATCTAGGTGCTAGTGTTAATATAATGCCTTCTTCAGTGTATGACAAATTAGGTCTGAAAAACCTTAAACCTTCCTCTGTATCTCTTCAAATGGCTGACAGGACTATTAGACTCCTTAAGGGTGTAATTGAAGACGTACTGGTTAGGGTTGGTGAACTTGATTTTCTTGTTGACTTTGTTGTAATGGACATGACAGAAGACCATAAGATCCCGATTATCTTTGGCCGCCCTTTCCTTGCTACAAGTCAAGCAGTAATAGATGTTCTTAAGAGAAAAGTGACCATTAGGGCTTAAGATAAGCAAGTAGAGTTTAAGATCTTTAATGACCATAGTTTCACTTTTAATGGTGGTACTTGCTTGAGAATTGATGCTACTAACCCTTTGGTTGATAAGTGTGTATCTAATAGAAATCTTGGGAGAAAAGAGGACGACATTCCAACATATGATGGCTTTAGCTACATGAAAATGAGTTCGGATACAAATCATATCAACTCTAATAGAGGTGGACATATTTATAGACAAGATTGTAGAGTATCCTCTCTGTGTGGTGGTGATCCAGGTTGAGCTACAAAAGGAGGTCGAGCTTATGACCTTAAAAACTAGTGCTTTGCGGGAGGCAACTCGTACTTTATTTTGCTTTTAGTTTTTTCTTGTATATGTGTGTGTGTGTGTGTTTTATTTTATTTTATATTACTTTTTATTTTTAAGAGGTAAGAAGAGTATAACTTATGCTTGTGGGAGTTTGTTTTTGTGCAGATTTTGAGCTAGAGAAGGCTTCATTCAGGCTGGAACTGCACGTATTCGATCAGGCAGAGCTCGCCCAATCGGGCGTGCGTAGCGTCAGCAAAATTTTTCAACTTCTATAGGCCATAACTTTGCGTTTCTTATCGGATTTAGGCGTGTGACCTATCATTGGAAAGATATTCAAGTCTACTTTCCAATGCAATTAGAATCACTGAATTATCACTTATATATCAAAAGTTATGATCAAAAGAGTACACTTGACTCAAATTTGGACTTTTTCCCACTAACACTTTGTTTCATTTTTGCCCAAATTTGTTCCAAAGAGACGCATTGAAATCCTTGAGGGTTTGGTGAAATTGATGTGGTGATGATGAGGAGTAGTTACCTTGACTACTATCTTCCCTTTAAGACAATGAGGACATTGTCTACTTTAGCTTGGGGGAAGGTTCTCGTGTGCGCTTGGTATATCTTTCACCCTCTCTCTTTTTATTTTATTTTATTTTTTTTTTTTTTTTTTGATGTGCTTAGTATAGATTATATTGCCTTCTAGGTTAGTTTTATTGCTTTCAAAAATTTTAAAAAAATCCAAAAATACGTTCTAATGAATAATAAATCATGCTTCCCTGTGCCCCATACATGAAAATTATTTTGATTCTTGGTATATGATGATGAGTATTGTGGATAGGTTAGTCATGATTTGATATTTGATTGCTTGGATGCCTTAACATGCGTCAATTTTGTCCAACTGCTTGTGAATATAGTGCTTGACTAGTTGATTTGGTGAGGAATGTGTTTTAGTTCCTGGTATGCCAATGAATTTTAGTATTGGTTTGCTACTATAAATAGTGTTTTATGACTCATTATTATGCACATTGAGGAGGACGAAGGCATTGTTCTCTTAGGTGGCCTTCAGATGAAATTAGATACATTTGTTCCTTTCTTGCTACCCATGTTGTTTCCATGACCTTTTTGTTATTTATTAGCCGCATTACAAGCCGGTTTTGTCCCATTGTTTACTAGTACCAAGCTTGGCTTGGGGGAGCAATTAGTGCATGAGGTGAGGGAGTTTGTGGTGTGCTATTTATTTGCACAATTTGGGGTGATATTGAGAAGATATTTATTCTTGATTGTGGTTTATTTTTGATGATTTTGGAAGTTGAATTTCTATAGTAAAAAAAAATAAAAAGTAAACTTCAAAAGAAAGAAAAATAATTGTTTAATGTTCAAATGTTCTAAGTGAAGGTTGAGCAAAAGAAAAAAATGAGTTTGAATAAGAAAAATCAAGTAGAAGAGTTCAAAGTTTGTCTATTTACTCAAGTTCTACATTTTTTTTATGAGTGAAATTGTAACTGGTGGAGTTGAGTTATGTTGGGAATGATTGGTCATTATTTATTTTGGCCTTGGTTTGCTAGGAATTTAGATCCCTTAAGCATTGCTTTTCTCTCACATTTTCCCAAATTTATCCTACCTGTTACCCTAAACTTACATTACAAGCTTTAAAGACCTTCCAAACTTTGTGCATAGAGTTGTGCAAATGTGAAAGTAGTTACTTATCAATGCAAGGAATGACTTCACATATTCTGAGTCGAATATTAGGTTGAGTGTATGTCTTTTTCACGAGTGTGTGAGTTAGGAGGGCAAAGTTCACATGATGGGGTTGGGATGGAGAGCGATCGAGTACATCTTTTACTCGCCACATAATTGAGAGTCGAGTGTGTGAGCACTAGTCTTGAATTCTATATGCTCTTGTGGTTTGCTCTATTTGACAATTTTTAGGGAGGATGAATGATTGAATGGATGAGATTGGTTGATTTTGAAGCATATTTTTTGGATTTACCTTGAATTAGTGGTTGTTGATTTTGATTATTTTTGGTGTGAAGTATTGATTTATTTATTCGTTGCTTTACTCGAGGACGAGCAAAGGTTTAGTTTGGGGGAATTTGATAACACGATATTATACACGATTTATATGTGATATTTGGTCTTGTTTTATTGTGTTTTCTTCATTCTCCTAATCTTTTTGAGTTATTATTCTTCCTATTTCGATATTGCTCTTCTCGGTTTGTTTGTTTTTGTTTTTATAGGAATAGGGCTCAATTTGCGTGGAACTTATTTTGATTGCAAGATATTTCTTTATATGGAGCGTTTCTAGCACCAATGGAGCATCAAAGGGAGCATTGTGGCAGCCTACTCCATAACAAGGTTGTGGCGTGTAATCTGTTGGCCACAACCTGTTTGTGGGCGTCTATGTCGGAGCAAGGGAGAGGCGAAGACAGCCCACTCCACAGCCCGGTTGTGGCGGTATTCTTCATGCTACAACCCACATGTGGAAGCTCATTTTGGCAGCGTTTAAGAGTCCTATTAAGATAGAAATACCTAGTTTTATGAGAGGATATAAACAGGTTATAGATAGTATTTTATTAATCACTTTTCATATACTATTTTAGACTTCTTTTTGGGTATTACGTTCTTCCATATTATTTTTCTAGAGTTTTTCTTTTCAAGATTCAAGATTTCATAATTAATTTCAAGTATTGATTTCTTCTCTCAATTCTTATATTTTATTATTGTTAATTATGTTTTCTTTATTGATTATCATTCTTGTTTTCATTAATATGTGTGAGTAGTTTCCCTATTCCAAGATCTAGCGGAACCCGAATATGATTAATGCTTGATTTAATTCTTTAAATTCTCTAATGATAATTGCAATTGATATGCTTAATTGATTATGCTCATGCCAATACTAGATTAGGGATAATTGGTATTGTTACTAATCCACCAATGGGAGTTGGGTTTTGACGGGTTTGAATAAATCAATTAAGGGTTTGAAGTTCATCACGGGAGTAGTTGAATGGATGATTAGGAAGTTAGATTAATGTGCTCAAGGTCTTTAATTTGCATGATTCCACGGAAGTAGGTTTGATTGTGATTAGGGAAGCCATTGATAATTCGAGAGAGACCGTTGGTACTATTCAGGGATTACTTTTCCTCTTTAATCAATTGAATTATATGTTAGGGGTAGAACAACTATTGCATTAATTGTATTCGTGGTAATGCTTGATCTTGGATGTCTGTAGTATTTGATTATCATATTATTTAGTTTAATTATCATTCTTGATATTTAGTTATTAATCCTCAATTATTTGATTTGGTTACTTTCTTAGTACTTACTTGAGTCTATTTAATTAGTTGAACCATAGTCTCTTGGGATCCGACCCTTGCTTGCCCGTCTACATATTAGGTATATTTTTGTTAGGTACGCGACACGCCTATCAAATTTTGGCGCCGTTGCTGGGGACTAACGGTTTCATTCTAGTTATTCATGATTCGTTTTTACTAAGCATAAATTTTGTTGTTTCTGACTATTTTATTATAAATAGGGTCCATGGACCTCCGTTTTCAATCATCAATTCTCATAAAAAATTTCTTGATTCTCTCTCTCTCTTTCTAAACCAACCCTTTTACAAACTAAATTCCGCATACACAATATCTAGACACACCTAGCCAAGTTCGATGTTGCCTTCGCCCTAGACGTGAAAAGTTTAATATTTTTGAGGGTTTGGTCCTAAATCTCTCTTTCAATAATTTAATTTGATTTTTTGATTTATTATTTTCCTTGGTGTTACTAATGCGTTTATTTTGTTATTTGAAAGAGGTACGAGGCATCCAAGTAAGTGCTTTAATTGTTTTATTGATATTATGATACATAAATCATGTTTAGGTTGTTATTTTGATTCCTAGTATCATGTTAGGATGCTTTTCCTAGTATCATGTTTAGGGTAATAACTAAAATTTCTAATATCAAGTATGATTAAAAGGATGCTTCCTATTTTCTTTCCTAATATCATGAAAGTCTCATGATATGGTTAAAGCTTTCGTTTTTATTGCTTAGTGACATGTTAGGGTTTGTTATTAATCTTGTTAATATCATGCCTAGAATCTTGTTATTATTATGATTTATTGTTAACATGATTATTTTAATTATGATTATTATGGTAATTATGATTATGATGATGATTACTGTTGTGTTGAATTATGTAATTTAATGTAATTTGTTAATTAGCAAACTGTTTCACGTAATTTGTTAATTTACGAATTGTTTACGTAATTTGTTAATTTACGAATTATTTCATGTTATATGATAATTAACAGATAATTTACATAAAATTTGATGATTATTATGTTGCTTGATATTATATTATTGTTATTTCTTGATCACACCTTTCATGCATGTTTAAAGGGAATTGGTACTTGTAATCACGCTTAATAAGATAATTAATAATCTTGTTTAGGGTTATTATAATTCAAGTGATCCCCAATAATAGTTTTATTTGTGCATTAATATTCCACTAATATTGATAAGCAGGTTTAGGGTAAACCTAATGATTGCATGTTAGTCAGAAAGCGCACATGAATACGAGAAGAATAAAGTAGAGGCCTATTATTAGGGCTGGTTCTTTCTCTTTTAGATTGAATTTGTACCTTCATCGTAGAACTTCCAGTCTTGGTTAACGATCTTCTAGATCGTTAAGGGGGTGTAACCTTCACCC